CGTCTGGCTATAGTTAATTGTTATAGTGTTTAAAGTCTATAAATACAATTTCCACTATTAGTCGCTTAGTTTTCTTTAGTTTCTTTAGAAGGTAAACCAAGGTTAACAGTGTGTCTTAGAACCATTTGATATCAAGATAGATGAATACATAAAATCACTCGAAAACATCTTTGACCAAGGACAGGGAACTCAGAAGGAGCGTGTACGAGCACTTCTTGACAATTATAGAACGGCAAGTCAAAGTTCTCTTCTTATCAGGAATAAATTATAAGTGACATGACAGAGGCTTTCTGGGCCATCGTCAAAAGGTTCCTGGCCGAGTCACAAAACCGATGCTAGGGTACAGGAGCTTCCTGGGTTCCCTATATTTAAGGTTTCTGGCTGACCTAGTATTGGTCCCATCAGGGCACGTGGGGCTTCCTGGGTTCCCCGTGTTTAAGGTTTCTGGCTGACTGATGGGATGTATAAAAAATGTAAAAATATTACTTAATAAGCATTACTAATTTGCCTTATTTTCACTTTAAAGGGAGAAGATCGCAAAATTTCTAAAAATTGGAAGAAAGCACGTAAATTAGATAATGTGAATGCTGGCTTATCAATTAACATTATTGGAACTATAAGTGGAACTATAAGTGGTGGAATAAGCAATTGTGAAATATCCACATCCAAGAAAAGAAATCAAGAAATGGTACCTACATTTTTTTAATTGGTAGTTCAGGATAAATCAGCTTAGCTAATTATTATTTTAACATTTAGGACGATCACAAATATCAGACAAAGAAAACCAGAAGTGGGAGAAATATTCCAAATTACTGTGAACTTTTTGATGAAACATCAATTCCAGATATTAGAGTTCAAGAGAGTGAAGAAGAAAATGTTATTCGAAATAATGAGGTTAGTAATTATTTAATGATACATTCCAAACAAACGCGTTTTTAACTCTTTAATGTTTTTTGAAAAAAAGCAACAGCCTGAAAACATCTACGATAAAGAACCGAAGCGTGTAAGTACAACTTCACAGTCAGATAACGAATCTGATGATCGTGAAGAGTGTCAAGTTTCACAATCTCTTTACTCTCGGAGTATACACATTTAGTAAGCTTAATAATTTTAATTTTTTTCAGTACATTCCTATTACATAACATGATCTATTTGATTTTAGATTATAATTATAACATATACGGATTGGATTGGAAAACAAGAGGTGTTTGGCGTCTAGGTTTGCTTCAAAAAGTTAAGCTACCCTTATCAATTGATAAGTTGCAAATTATAGAGAAACTTATTATTTCTTTGTTGCGTGTTGAGGTAAGGTATCGTTATTTATTCAGTAATTACATTTTTATGTTTTGTAAATTTCTAATCATCTTCGTTTTTTTGATATAGGAAGCTTTGCATCGTATACGAAAGATCCGTGATGAAATATTAACTGAAAAGGCAAGATTATATCGAAGCCGACGAATATCAACATATGCCATGGACTATTCCATTTGTGAGCATGGTCGCATAGCTCGTAAAGAAAAGCAAAAGAATAATTTGATTTATAAATTTTCCATGTAATTTTATTAGCTTTAAAACATCACCCAATGCTTTTAAATGTATTTAAATATTCAATACACGCATTTACTTATTGAAATATTACGCAATCACTGAAATTTTAATCATGAGTTCCAATTTGGATATACGTTATAATGCACAAACAAAAATGCCAGTTAATTGACGATATGCTTGTTTCAATGGCGTGTCCCGCCCAATAGCGAGAGGATCATCCACTGATTTAGTAAAATCGAAGACCACAAAATCTCACTTCCACAAATGTTTATAGCTTCGCCAGCGTTTCTGACACATGATATATAATAGCAAAATGACAAAAATATAACTCCGAAAACTGTTCCCTCGGGGAACGAACAGAGTTACACCAAATTCTCATATATTATTGATTCCGAAAAACAAATCAGCTATCAGAGCTAGCTTTATTAATACAGCAAAAATTCGGGCAAGAAAAAAAGTCTATTTACTTTATTGATACAAATAAAATATACAGGTATATAGGTACCAAGTACATATATCGGAAATAAAATACAGAAAAAAATCTATCATTTGTTAATTTTTTGAACACGACGTTTTTTAATTTCATGTTCATTGCACATTGTAATCCTATCCCTTAATAACCTCACAACTAAACCAATTACTGTTTTAACTCCCTTCCTGATTGATTCAAGATCCTCCTTCAATACTGTTTTGGATAAATTAATTCGATATTTACTTTTGCTGGTACAATATAGCCCTTCCGTAGCGAGTTTAATAAAATGCCATTCCGTAGCTAGAAAAAAAATAATAATCAATCGAAGATAGGGTAATGTCAGAAAATGTATAATAAATCTGAGATAAAGGTGCTACCTGTAGAAACTATCCCGTAGAGATAATCTTCATCATTTTGAAATTCTTGATCTGCTGTTCATTTCCTTTTATTCATATGACTCGCGCTCTCCAGTTGTTTTATATTTTGGAGATACCCAATTTCAACATTACGTGGTTTTCCCTCGGCTATACATATAAGATCCTCATAGCCTTTGATTGAATAATCAACACGTCCAGAGCTATCTTCACCAGATACATCATCTTGGTATGCAATATATATTTTTTCATTGTTGGTGAGTTTTCGAGTAATTGCAATTGA